TCAACTCCCAAACTAGCCAATAATGCTTGATTCTCATTCCATTACAGAAGGAAGTTCTGAAAAATGAAGCAAATATTATGTACTCCAGAAAAATCAACCAGATCACAGCAACATTATCTTTATGGAAAATCATGTCACGCAGACAATGAGAAGGTAACAGTCATGCCACAAACTACTAACTACCATAACTTACTTCACGACTCCCGAGCTGATCAAAGTCATATGATCCATGCAACCGCAGCAATTTCACCTGCAGCAGAACTTGAACTGTTATGCACATTCATACAAGAATCATAAAGTACAACTCAGTCACTCCTAATTTTCATGTAAAAGGCTTCATAGTAAAATTCACTGTCGAAAAAAGTTAAATTCACTATAGAAAAACAAGGTATGAATACCCCAATTTCCAGCCAGCCAATTGCCAATGTTGATGATATTGCTTCCCAATATTTGGGGTGATCTTCAACTGCCTGAGACATCACATGGTTCACCAAATGAAAACATTTTCTAAAGAAAATAAGGCATCAATGAGTATAATGATTCAAACAAGTGTTTGCTTCCAGAAAGAAAATGCATTAACTGATCGATAATATTTGATGCTAAGTGCTAATCCAGAATGATAAATAAATTTAGCATAACCTTGATGCAGCCCCCCCCAAAAAAAAGGAGTACTACAGTCAAAATATTTAACTGAAAGGAAAGGAGTGAGAACAAAAATGTTGAGTCTTTTGTGAACATCAAGAGCTACACGAATATCTCTCTTTTGAACCTTGCCTCAGAAATTTCCATGTCTGCCAATCCCAGTCACATATAAAGCAAGCTTATAAAACTCAGTTCATCGTTGAAACAATAAGAATTAAAAGTAGTTTCTAAGAACATGGCCAGAGCCATAAGTGCCTAGTTCTGTCTGATAATAAGTTAATTATCAGGGTAGCAACCTGCCGAGTGACCAGTTCCTTTTGAAAGTTTACAAGTTCTGAATGGACAGTTGGCTGAGTACCAGAGAATAGACAATCGTAATCCTGAAAGAGAAACTAATCGTTAGATCACCTAAACTTTATTCAGACGGTAACAGCAGAAATAGAGATCCAAAAAAGTAACCACAGGTTATAAAGAGAAAATATCCATACAGCCAACCAATCAAGAAGCCTTTCAGGGATCCAAGCTTGAGAGTGCTGGTCTGCATAAAATATTTCCATCAGCTCCCAGGCAGCTTTGAAACATGTTGGCTTTTGGACATCCTAAAATTAACAGACACAAGATGGATAAGCAAGCAAAGAGCTAATGTGCACTTATAGATGCAAGGAACCACTCAAAGGTAAAGATTCACCTTTAGCACTGTCTTTTGATCTTCAATGGCTAAACTAGGAGACGTCTTTGGGTTACCAAGGAGAGAATTTATCTCCCTACTATAATCCATAATGTATTGCCACCTAATTATTCAAAGTTCACCTTGATCAATTAATGGATAGATATCATAATTCTTGGACAAATTACAAAAGTTTCCTGGCTTTAAGTGTAGAACATGGCCCCCATATCATCAAGAGAAGACATTTTCATTTGAGCATTGCCCTTAAGTCACTATGTACAAAGAAAGCCAGAAGAAGGGAAAAAAATAGAAGGAAACTTGAACTAGAAAATATCTACTCTGCAGGATCACCATAGTAATAATTAACCCAAAAATCAACGGAAAATTATCAACTTTCTTCCATTGTTTTACTTTTATTACCATTCTGTACTGTCCAAAGCTGAGATTTTCGACAAAGTCGAAGTCGAATTCTTCCGGCTCTGAAGCAGCGCAAATGGAGTTACCGAGCCGTAGGCGATCCTCCGCCACTGAGCATCGTCAATTTCGCCGTCCCTGTTGTCGCTGAGCTTCACTTCCAAAACTTTACCGCCGGCTTCTTCCTCGCCGTTGGCAGCAGACGGTTGAGGTTGACGGAGAACAGTGACGCGAAGCGTGTTTCCACGCGCCCATGAAATTGAGAGTCGAGCGATTGGGGGTTTAAGGCCGTGGTTGAGAGGAAAGGTTGTAGGCTGGGGGTTTGGGGATATCGGGACGACGGAAGTGGAGTGGTCTCCGGAATCTGATGTCATCCCGGGCATCTTCGCCGGAGAAACAATTAGACCCTCAGGGCCTTAGCTTGATTGACTGATTGACTGTTTGCTAGGGTTTTGGTGTCGTTTTTGGAGGGTTTTTGACTGTTTAAAATCGTAGGAAATGACAATCGATGTCGTAAAGTAGTACCGTATGCCTTGACGATTGTACTCGCTGCATTGTAGTGTGTACTCAAAGGTGGATATTAGTTTCCTCGTTGGTAAGGTAACAATTTTTTACTGTCCGCGTTTGGATTAGTTGTTTTAAAAAGTGCTTTTCAGAAATTTTACTATAATTTTGTATATAAAAAACTTTTATTGTAAATATTTTTTTAAATTATTTTTAGAGATATTTTAAAAATATATTTTGGGATATTTTTATAATTTATAATTTTTTGAAATATTTTTTAAAAAATTTTACACCACCCACCACGGCCCACTCCCTCCTCTTTCCCCTTCTCTCCTCCTCCTTCTCCTTCTTCTCTCTCTTCTTTCCCCCTTCTCTCCTTTCCCCCAACCCTAAACCCTTCTCCCACTCGCATGTAGTGACTGCGACTCTAGTCACCACTCTACTGGCGACCAAGAAGATTGTAGTCAGTGGAGGGGAAGGGGAATTAGGGATTAGGAAAAGGGAAGGGAGAAGAGAGTAAGCAGAAGGAGAGAAAGGAAGAAGAGGAAAAGGAAAGAGGGAGGAAAGATGGGGTGAAAGGAGAAAGGGTCGTGATTGTGGGAGTGGTGACGATAAGGTGGTGGCAATAGTAGTGGAGAGTGATGGGTGATAGTGGCTGTGGTGTATTTTTTTGGTATATTTGTAGTTGTTTTTATATATTGTATTGATGTTATGTTTTTTAAGTTGTTTTTGTTTGCGTATTATTGTAACATTATATATGAAAAACTTGTTTTTAAAAATTGAAAAAGCCAAACAAAAGAAAATAATAATAATATGTGATTCCTTTGATCTAAGCATAAATTGAGGAATACAAAGAAAGAAATAATAATATGTGATTCTTTGATCTAAGCATTCCAATTTCCAACTACTAATATACATTACATGCTTAGCTACTCAAGTCATTTAGTCCATCAAGACTCAGAGGATATCAACACAGCTTAACTAATGTGCACTTGTTAAAGAAGAAGGGTTGTTACTAGTTTTTCGAAAAAAAAAATTGAAATTAATCAGGTAAAATTTTCAAGTGCAAAAGGAGACATGTTAATTGGGGCGTGGTCATGTGTTAATTCTAGTATAAATTAGGTGCAATAATAAGTATTCATCAACAAAATCCTTATATTATATAAGAATGAGGTTAGGGCAAAGATGGTTTTTGGATTTCAACCGCAAGGGTGGGGCTATTTTAGAAATGTGAAAGTATTTGAAGTGCAATTGAATTATTGAATATCCTTATATTATATAAGATTGAGTTTTGGTCAAAGAGAAGGTTGAATTTCAACCGCATGATAGGGATTTTTTGGGAATGTGGGATGTTGTGTGGTTTTCTTAAAACTTTTGGTACAATTGAGAGGAGCATGTATTTGGGTATGTTTACCGATATGTTCTTATTTTGGTACATTAAAAGTTTTGATTTATATAGGCATCTGGGTATTTCTGGAAGGTAAAATTATTTTGCAACCATTTTTGCACCGTGTACAACTCATATATACTTATATGTTGGTGTAATTACTCGACTGGTATTATAGATACATTTAATTTAACTGTGACTTTTGTTGTGCAATTAAAACAAAGACATGTTGCTGTAACTACTCGTTTGAGGTTATTTCTTTATTTGAAACAACTTGTCTGATCGTTTCCCAACTCATATGAGCTCACGCCTAAACACAACTCATTCCTTTTCCCATTTACATCTCAATTAAATAGCCAAAAACATGGGTATTGAATGAATAAATGGCTGAGCATCATTATGGTTGTTTCAATGCTTCCCCTTTCACCTTCTTCAGTTCTCCCCTTTCGGCTTTTGGAATTGGGATATTTTTTGCAGCCTTTATACTAAACATCTCGGAATGGTTTTCAGCCGCAGCTATTCGTGGTGGTTTAGCTTGAGATTAGATTTGTTCTCCAATTTTGTTGTTTATGTGGGTGGTTCTTGTGGTTTGTAGCATCAACATGTGGTCACATCCTAAAATTTGAAACTTTGGTTGTGTAGTTTAGCTACAAGATAAAGATTTTTGCACAGAATCAGTGTCCTCTGAAATTTAACTGGTTTGCTTATAATGATAGGTTTGGAGCAACTTTAAGAAAAAACTTCCCAAGAGGTATTTGGAACAAGGTCAGCTTTCTAGGGTTCTCTAGCTTACTACATTAATCCAGTCATGGTGTGTTTTCAGCTATATAAAATAAGAAATTCACTTCCTCTTTCCTTTTGGGAATAACCAGTAGCAGGACAAATCCATCGATATGAGGCAGGATAGGAGAACGACTGGGATCTTATAGAGTTTTTTGCTTTCAAGCATTTTTCTCGCTCGTTTTGTTAGAGAAAATGAATGGTTTGCTTGACGAGGGAAGAGATGTGCTAGCTATTTGCTTTCTTAGAAAACTAAGCGACTAATTTACTGTTGAGAGGTCAGAAATTCCTACAACAAACTATTTCTTTTTCTTTTAGTGACATAGTGAACCTTCTTGCTGAATTAGTAGCCAACAGAGAATATCCCTTTAATGGGAATACGGCTACCTGCCTTTCTTCCTATGCTGGCTAAGCAAATTAGTCCTCAACTGAAAAAGGAAGGTTCTACCACAATTGAGGTTAGCCATTCTTATTAGCCTTGATGAGCTCCTCTTTGCCTTGAGATAACTGTAGTCACTGCTAATTGATTATAAGGTAAGCTTATTCATTTTGACTTGTTTTTATAGTTTACACACTTTTGTATTGGTGCTTTTTACTTTATGTAGGATGAATCTGATTAATTTCCTGAACCACCAGCAGTTGACTTTGGGCATTGAGTCCTTACTCCTTTCGACAAGAGCGCTTACTTCTATGACACCATCGCCGGTGCCGGCTGCTTCTCCGCACCATGCCCTGGATATGCCATTTAACATTTGTACAGCAAACACGTTTTACATAAAATATCAAACTCCAGCTTCTTTAACTATTTCTTCTCAAATTATCTCTCTAATTATAGGCACCAAACACTCGCGCGATGCGCGAGCACTCCCCTCTAGTATACTATATAAGAATGAGTTTAGGACAAAGATGGTTTTTGAATTTCAACCGCAAGGGTGGGGCTATTTTAGGAACGTGAAAGTATTTGAAGTGCAATTGAAGTATTGAATACAAGTTATTATGGCTAATTTGGTTTCGTTGTAATTACTTAAATGTCCTTTCAGATATTTAAAGTTAGAGGCAACTTTGACATGTAATAGTGTTCAATAGCCAATTGAACATGGGAACAACTGAATTCAGCTTGTGTTTTAGTGAAATTACATCAAAACCCTTCTAATCATTTAATTGTATAACATCCAAGTTTCTTAATTTCCTAAAACCTTTCTCATCAGTTATTTACAAACTTATGATATATAGATGTAAGACAATTAATGCCAATTTGTAGATAAGTTTGGTTTCTTATCTGTTACCATAGTAAACCTCATGTTCAAATTCATTTCATTTACTTACAGTTTTGTTACACCACAATCATGCAGCCTATTGAATTCAGATGTTTCTACATTAGTTACTTCTCTTCCCTATTTTGCAACACCTTTTTCTCAATAGATATGTTTTCTTTAACCAATTTACTTTTTCGTTGTAAGAAATTTGTAATTTTGTAGGTTGTATGTGCGATAATTTTTTAGTGTTCAATTCAATTGTCCATGTTAGACATGTTTGATAGGAAGGAAATCACATTTGTTAATTGTTATTTGTGGTTTAAAATAAGTTTATCATTATAAATTTTTTCATTTATAGATTGCATCTACTTCTGTTGTTATTTTAACTATTAGTTTTGGAAATTTTCAAACGATTCCATTTAGGTAATTTTTTCACTTCATTGGATATGCCAATATATTTAACTATCTGCTTAAAACTATTTAGCTACAAATTTAAAGTATGTACTTCATTATTTTTAATTATTTTCTTGAATTGAGTGGATTAAGATGCTTTAGTACTTCCTCTAAATTAGCATGTTAATTGTTGTATATCATTGCAACTAACTCAAAAATTGATGTTTCATGATTGTAACCCCTATCGAGAAGGAGATGCTTTGCTATATATCCTAAATCATACAATAAATCACGAGCAAATTGTGCAAAATGTCACTAAACCATTGCGAGGTGCCGATTTTGGTCATTAAATTTTTTTATTAGCAAAAAATGTTACTGAACTAGTAAATTTATACCGTTGTGGTCATTATATCTATTTATGCCATTAGAAGAAACGAAAAGTAATTTTTTGAGAGACAATTTCATCTATTTATGCCGTTTTGGTCATTCCAGCCACTCATTTTTTAAATCAGAAGAAATTGCCACTTCACAAATCCAGGGCAAGTGGTTGTCAGTGCTTACTATGTTTCTATCACCGTTCTTGTCTTGCCTTCTGTCTGATTTCCTCCAAAACTTTTAGCAATACTGAAGTTAGAAATTTTTGGATTCAACTCACTATGTAGCAAAACGTTGCTAGCCTTGAGATCCCTATGGATAATTCTTAATCTGGAGTTTTGGTGAAGATAAAGAAGTCCTCTTGATATTCCCAGGGCAATTTCAAAGTGATTTTTCCAAGCAAGCAACTTTTTTCTACTCTGATCTGCAGGCAGGATGTGGTATTATCAGTAGATTCTTTGTTATTTTTGTAAGCCATCTTTAATTCTCCTAAAGATTAGAGAAAGAAAATCAGACCGAAAATCAAATAGTCCAAGCTCCTGTTAGGCATAAGCTCTAGTCCAACGACTTACACCTACGGGAACCAATTGAATTCCAGTCTGACGAATCCGACTCCTCCTCCTCCTCTTCTTGCTCTTTCAGAATCCCTCACTAGGTATTGGTCCCAGATTCCTAACATCTCCGAGGATAGGGATTGCCTAGCCCTCTCGAGTTTTCGGTGATCACGAAACCTTTGCTCGCCGATGGCATTGCCAGCTCTCACCGGATGTCCTTGGTCTTCAATCAGCAAGGATTGAAGCAACTAAAGGAGGAGGAGGAAGAGGCATTATTTGTACTGCAAAAGTTTGTGAACCATGGCGGCGGCGTCTTCAAAGTCTATGTTGTTGGGAACTACGTGCAATGTGTCAAACGGAGGTCTTTACCAAACAACCTCATGGATGACGATGACGACAAACCATTGGGAAGATTAGAGGCCTCCCACCGCAATCTGTTGACCTATTCCCAAGTTTCAAATCTTACCGCCGCCGCCGCATCTTTTTCTTCGTCTTCTAAGAACAATGATGAGCAGCAGCAGGAGGATGTGAAAGAGGAGGAGGCAACCGCACAAATGTCTCCGGTGAGTTTCCTTACCTGCTTGGCCAAGGCCTTGAGGAATGCCTTGGGCTTGCATCTCTTCAACTTTGACATAATCAGGGACAGTCGATCTGGGAATCGGTACCTTGTCATTGATATTAACTACTTTCTCGGTTATGCTAAGATGCCCTCCTATAAGACTGTCATTGATATTCTGGAAGTAACATATTCATATTGAACTTACGAGTTGTCTGACACATTTGAGAGCAATTTATGTTGGAGAGCTTCAAGGAAAAAGCTGTGCAGACAAAATTGCCCATCAAAAAGTTACTTTTCGTCTCTCCTAACGACATAAGTACACGGAGTGATCAAAACGGTACAGATTTACTAGTTCAGTGATATTTTTGACTAATAAAAAAGTTTAGTGAACAAAACCGGCACCTCGCAATAGTTTAGTGACATTTCGTGCAATTTGCTCATAAATCACAATTGATTGATTGGTTAAGGTGGAGACCTCATGACGATGTCCTTGGAATTAATATAAATTCAAGAATTTGGCTTGCAAGAACCAAAATTCCACTAGCAATGATTTCTTTAAGTATGCTAATTATTCAAATCTCACTTATATAATAAGATAATATGATGGATTGCCCTCATATCAAGATCAAATTCAAACTAAACAGTAGATTTTAATATCCCTAATGCGCATGAGCATATATAAGTAAGTCTTTTATTTTACTGCGTTAGACGCAAAGTGGTTGATCGTATTTTATAATTATGTTTCATTGCATATTATATTTTTTTGACTCAATATGTAACTTATGATTTTTCTGTTTAATATCACATAATAAATTTGTCATACTTCAATTCTTATACTACAAAATACCAAATAATAATTATCAACCATTTTTAATTACAGACACTAAACTCCAGCGCATTGCACGGGTTTTTTCCCCTAGTCAATAATAAGGAAAAGGAGTTTGTGATGGATTGGTTAGTATTGCAATATACAAAGTGCTTTTAGCCGCGGGAGTAACTAATCAATTTACAATTGTGCTTCTTTATTGAGAAACAGAAAATGAGACGAGAAGTTAAAGGTAAAAAACAGAAAAATCTCATGTGATAAATCTAATATATAAAAAGCCCCTTATAGTTTCAAAACATATAACACGACACTTCATGTTTTAAACTAAATTGTAAAGATGATGGAATCCGGTACAATTAATAAGGATGGACAAAATGACAAAAATGTCCTGATATAACTAACCAAAAGGCAACTCAACAAAATCATTTGTTTCATTCTCTAGAGAGAGAGAATTGGAGGTTAAAGGGTAGAACAGGTATATTTGTTAAAAATCAGATATAAAAAATTTGTGTTTAGATTCCAATATGTCATTTCAGTTAATTTTAACATATTCTGTCACATTTACAATTTAATTCAAAACATGAGATGTTGTTTTGTACGTTTTGAAATCACAAGAACTTTTTAATATATTAGATTTACTATAATGGACTTTTGTTTTAACCCAAATTTATATAACACATGCAATTACATATTACTTGGGAAGACCCATTGGTATGTGAAATATAATAGAGTTGATTATTTAACCATATATCCCTATTAGAAGCCAAAGTGCTTTATTTTTTCTATTTGCACCTTGTGAAAATGTTCAATATGACTTGAGCTACAAATTTTTGCACTATAGTCTTATACTTTTGAACACATAGCCTGTTTGGTTCTTTGTTTGTTGTGATTAAGGTTGGCCGTTTAGTGCTTCAGTCTTTGCCTTGTTCTTTCACAAGTAGTTCTTCTCTTCTTTGTTGTTGAATTTGCCTTTTTATTTGTTCAATTCATTAGTATTGGGCCTGTTTGAAACTTTGGTTTTTTATCAAATTTGTATAAAACTAGTTTTTTAACTTTTGCTATAAGAACCCCAAAAAACTTATCAAAATTTTTAACCTACACACCCATCTAATACACAAAAAATTTTCCTTCAATTTTTCTTCTTTTCCCTCCCTCACCCAACCCACCATGTCCTCCGGCGCCAACCACCGCCTCCATCACCGCTCCCGGCGCCAGTCAACAATTCCGGCACTGCCTTTCTCTTTTTTTTTTCTCTCCCTCTCCCTCATCCCCTCTCCTTCTCTCGTCCTCCCCTCCCCTCTTCCCCTCTCCCTCTCCCGCCACCCTCCCCCTCGCGACCAAGTCTAGTCCCGCGACCAGATCGCAAAAGTGGAGGGGGAGGGGGGTTGCGATTTGGTCGCGTGACTAGATCGCAGCTAAGGGAGGGCGAGGTTGGCGGGGGAGAGAGGAGGAGAAGGGGTGACAGGCAAAAGCTAAAAAAAAAAATTCATGGCTTTCACGTGTGGCTGCTGAGGGCGACGGAGATGGGGGAGGGGGAGAAAAAGGGGTGGCGGGGCAGAGGGAGAAAATGGGCGGCAGGGGAGAGGAGAAGGGGTGACGGACAGAAGGGTGACGGGACAGGGAGACGAGGGATGGCAGGGGAGGGAGAAGAGGAGTGGCGGGGGAAGGAAGAGGAAAGGGTAGAGGGGCGACGGGAGAGAGAGGGGAAGGGATGACGGGGGAAAGGGGAGGAAAAGGGGTGGGGGGCAGAGGGGGAGTGACAGGTTGCAATTTTATCATTTATTTTATTATTAATTTTCCCTATTACCTGACCCGATCTGGATTAATTGTTGGATTCTACTCACTTTTTGTAATTTGTATTTATTTCAGTGAGTAGAATAAAAATATAATAACAGGTGCCAATTTAACAGAAAAAGGGTCCAAATGATAGAACTTGTCCCAAGGGCATTTTTGAAAAAGAAGACGTTGTGGCTATTTTGGTAAAATTGCGGAAGAGGGCAGCGGACGGATGGGCTTGGATTAGGAGACTGCCGCACAAACGATGCAAAGAAAGCAAGAGATAGACTATTATATAAGAATAGAAATTGCAGAGGAGCAGGGGCCCCGGGGGTGGAGCTTTTTGCTCCTTGACCTTTCCTTGGTTGGCTTCCCTGTAGCTTAAATTCTCGCATGTCAATTAGGCAGAGTTGAATGATTTCCCGTAGCCTTTCATTTTGACTTTTACTTTTCGTCCTTTGTGGTTGCCGCAAGATGGCCACAGCTTTTGCTGCAATTTTGTATGGGTTTAGTTCATCAAACATGAACTAATTTCTCCACATTAGTCAAGGGACAATGGATGCATTGGATTGCCTAAATTTGTGAGATCGATTTAATTTTATCTTTTTCTTTTATTTATTGGTATTTGCATATTCTTTGATTGCAGTGCTTATGATTATTTAATTAATTGATTGTCTTGGATCCGGATAATTAATCAATTTAATAATCTATTGTCAATTGAGGTATTGAATCTGTAATTGTTTAATTGCTTCAAAATAGTGACAACTGGCATAATTAGACTTGTGTCAGAGGAATACGCGGGCTAATCTAAAATAACCCTGGTAGTGCGTTATTTGATTAGAATAGGGCTCCTCTAATACGTAAGGCAATTGGGGAATTAAATTCTATGGGCGTACCTAAGATTATTTCTCAATTAGAGCAGTGATTAACGGGCGTACATTAATCATCGACACAGTAAGGAGGGTTGACTGTCATCGCTTGTTTGACAGTTATAACCTATTTATTAGTAAATAATTGGAATTGCCTTTGCTTATCGATGATCAATTAGGTGAACCATTGCTGAACTTATTCCTTGGCTAGATCCTTAATTATCACTCAGTAGATTTTAGTAATTTGTTATTTAATTTCTAGTTGGCTATTTTATTTTTATTTTTATTATTTTACTTTTAGTTGAATTGTTTAAATTGTCACCCCTGAGATAAAAACACCCCATTGTCACTGTGAATTTAGAAAGAAACAATTACTCCCAGTCCCTGTGGATTCGACCCTGCTCACCGCTATCTACAGAAATTACTTTTAGTTTGAGCAGGTTTTATTATTGCACAGGCTTCGACAACCTGTCAGGGAGGGAGAAGAGGAGTGGCGGGAAAAGAAAGGGGAAGGGGCAAAGGGGCGACGGGAGAGGAAGAGGGAGGGGTGGCGGGGGAGGGAGAAGAGGTGTTGCAGGAAAAGAAAGGGGAAAGGGAAGGGGAAGGAAGGAAAAGAAAAAAGACAGAAAGAGAAAAAAGAAAAAGGAAAAGAAAAGGAAAGAAAGAAAAGAAAAAAAAAGTTTTTCATTTCGCAAAAGTTTTTCTACAACTTCTACAGTGATTTGCAGTAAAGTTTTATACAAACACTCAAAAAACTCATCATCCAAACAGGCCTATTGTTCTCGACAGTTAATTGATATTTGATATGGAGTAAATGCCTTGAACTATAATTTGGACTTAACCTTTTAGGATTTCCAATATTGTATTTGAGTTTGAAGGTTGGACAATCAAGAAAAAGTCTAATTATTGTATGTTTTTCAATAAATTTTAAGGCTAATATGCCACTTGTGTGTTTATAGTTTTCGTAAGAATATTTAAAGCAATCTATCTTTGTTAAAATTGTCTTCATAGGATAGAATAGTCAGGTCAATTATATAACACATGATGATTGAGATCATTGTGGTTACAAAATAATACACATATCACCTCAATGGCTAGAAATGGGTTGTTTTTTATACAGTTTTTGCATCATTATAGAATGTGGACTGCTCAAAGAGTTACACATATGATTACATTTCTTTTGTTCTCTTGAATAGAAAATGACGGGATTGGTGAGAGGATGCATCCATACATTTTTTATGGGCATCCAATCATGTCTCTTAGTGCAACCAAATTGATTCAATTAGCAAATAAATATGTATAGTTAATCCGAGTTCAATCTCCAATTGATTCGTGAGAGGATGCATCAATTTAGTATCTCCGTTTGCAGGATTTTACGTCCCACCACTACTTGCAACTTGGAAGTAATCTTGAATTTCCTTTCTTGAGCCTGACTTCCAATTATTGAGGTAACCAAGTGAAACAAAACGCTATATTTCTTCCCATGACTAGGGCTTTTCCTAATTCAGCACTTTGGTCCTAACCTAAAGGGAGTAGCTAAGAGCCTTCAATAATACTACGGAACCTGCTAATAATAGAGACTCTACTCAATGAGTTGCGTACACTTATGATGGATGGGCTTGGCCACACGCGTGCTGCAATGGCAATTACAATGGACGCCTGAGTTTCTCCTAATTTTTTTTGTGAAAAGCCATCCATAAAATGACCAAGTATAGTATCACATTTGACACTAGGGCTTGGGGCCATTTTAAGCACATCTTGTCGAAAACTCTTAAGTATGGTGTGTAGCAAAAATCCTTCCGGGAGACATTTTTTGTTGTTGACGATGATGAAAGATCTGGTGCAAGCTAACTCAGAATAGAAAAGCCCTCTTCTTATAATGTGAAATAAAGAGAAGAATAAGCTAGTTTTTTGCCAACTGTCTCACCTAGCAAGAATCAGTCTTGAAGGGGGCAAAAGGCATAGACCACAAGGAGCAACAATATCCTTCCAGCAAATTTCTATCTGTATGAAGCTAGGTATTGAAATAGGGATTGCACACTAGGATTATCCAATAGCATCACAAAGTTTTGGCGTTGGCGGATTCACTTGGGGATTTTTGGTTCCATGTGGTTATCCAATAGCATCACAAATGAGTACTGATTGATCGAGTAAACTTCCGACTACCACTTTCAAGATGCCATATTTGTAGAATGTCACTGGATAGCCATGCTAGACTTAAGGGCATCTATAACTTAACAGTCACTTGAGCTTTTTAACTTTTATACCCTATATAAGAAAGCGCAATATCATGCACATTATGGAAGCACAAATTAATTAGATCAATTTGTAGTATTTCTGAATTAGCCAAATAAGAATTTCCATTAAGAATCATGGCTCCAGCCGTGATTCACCTTCTTGCATGCTTTGTCTTGTTTACGGTGGTCATGGCCTAGTGCCCAACAAGTTATCCGCCACCTCCACCTTCTCAATCTCCACCACCACCACCTAAATACAATTACTCTCCCCCACCTCCTCCTTGTCATTCTCCTCCACCACCACTTCTTCACTCTCCCCCACCTCCACCTCTACGTTCTCTACCACCACCAACTCCAAAGGCGAGTCCTCCTCCACCAACTCCAACTTTGAGTTCTCCACAACCTACACCAACTCTAAGCCCTCCTCCATCAACCCCGACTTTGAGTTCTCCTCCCCCTCCTCTTCCTTCAACATTGAGTTCTCCACCACCTCCTCCACCAACACCAACTTCGAGCCCTCCACCACCTATGCCTAGTCTGCCACCAAAAGTATCTGGAGAGAGAGTCCAACCATGACCAAGTGGAAAGAATATAGCATCCCACATCAGAATTGGAAGAGGAAAGAAATGGGTTTAAGTACATGGATGCTTGGGCTATGAGTAATTTGGATGAATCCATTTTAACCAGTGAATTTCGGTTCAAAAAATATTTGGATCATTCCTTGGATCCCAGCAGTGACAATGATACCTTTTTGGACACAAGGTGGTAGTGAAATGTGGAGTGTGACTGTAGTTGTGCGACAAAAATAGTTTGATTACTTAACAAAAAAGGTCAACTCCTTAACTGCTTGGATGGTACTTTCTTTCGCTACGACAAGGGATGTCACGAAATGAATGCAGCAATTAATTAACTATGTGGGTTGACAACATGAAACAATACATTGTGCCTTGATTACCAAGTCCTTATCATTTTTATAGCTAATGGTAAGAGCTACTACAATTCAAAGATGGAATAGTTATATGATGAGATAGCCAAATAGGTAGAGAAAAAAAGATAAGAACAATTGATGATTTGGTGCTGTTAGAAAAACCCCCTTATGCAAACTGTTTTACAACCTTTCTTAGTTGTTAGATTCCATAGTAACTTCTTGTTATATTTTAACTTTTATGCTTCGTTAGTTTACAAAATATTTAATGTTATAGGATTTTGTCATAGAACAATCTGTAACATTTGTGAGCAGATTGCAATAGGGCAGGATCAGTATGCCAAGATCCACGATTCGTGGGTGCTTATAGCATTGCCTTCTACTTCCATGGCAAGAGGGATCAAGACTTATGCATAGTTTCCGATTCAAATCTACACATCAATGCTCACTTCACTGGAAATAGATATCAGGACATGAAGAGGGACTTTACATGGGTTCAATCCCTCGGCATTCTCTTCGATAACCATCGAATCTTTGTTGGTGCCAAGAAAACAGCAACTTGGGACAATACCATTGACCGTCTAGACCTAAACTTAGATGGAAAACCAATCTACTTATCCGAAGGAGAAGGTGCTAACTGGGAATCAATAACAGCACCTGGTGTTTCAATCACGAGGTCTCGCGACACGAATACTGTGACAATTGAAGTAGAAGGGAACTTCCAGATTAAAGCAACTGTGGTGCCCATCACCAAAAGAGAGTCATGGATCCACGAGTATGGCATCAATGAAGACTATTTTGCACATCTTGATTTGGGATTTAAGTTTTATTCATTGAGTGGTGCTGTGAATGGAGTTTTGGGACAGACTTACTCCAGCAACTATACTAGTAGGGTGAAGATGGGAGTAGACATGCCTGTTTTGGGAGGGCAAAAGGAATTTTCCTCATCAAGCCTCTTTTCAACTGACCGCGCAGTAGCTAAATTCAGTGGAATTGCTTTGGCCTCTTCCAAGAAGTTTTTTTTTTTTTGTCATTTGCCGCTATTTTATTTACTAGTGTGAATACCCGTGTTACGCATGGTGTTTACATTATTAAAAAAATTACAATCTATGAAAGAATTTGAGAATAGTAAAATATTATAATCATGGGCACATGAAAGTATATTTAAAAAAATGAAACTTTGTAACAATAGTTCAATATTGATAAAAAAAAACATCTCCATTATTTATAAACGATGACTTTGATGAAGGTTGGATCCTGAAAAAAATAGAAATCTATATCATAAATTGAGCGACATAAGGGTCCAATTAAATATAATTGAATATTTAATTTGATAAATGAATGAAATACTTACAGACATTTTGCTTTTGATTTGATAATCTTCTACGAAGGTGTGAACATTCTTCACACCAATTAACTCTGAGTACAAGCGCCAGTATTGGGGTTTTAATTAATTCTGCATTATTTTGTGGAGTTCGCATTATAAATGAGAATGCACGATTTTTGCATGAATTAATGTGTTGGTCGAACAATGCACCTCCATTTTTCTGACAATTAAAAGCATACATAGTTCAAAATTAACTTTTGTTTTACACAGTTTGTAAATAATATTGTGTAAAAAAATATACATCTAAATAATGTATACCTTTGTTTTGAAATCTCTAAGATAAGAAGCATCACAACGAAACATGAATCGTGCATGCCTGTCTTGAAGAGCGAGGTATAAGGTACCACTGGAATCTCTAACTTCTATGTTAACATTGTATCTGTTAAGAAGAAATTGTGATGTATGATGCAACAAATTATATTAAAAATCCAAATATATGAAAATAATTACCTGACAATAGTGTCGACTACGTCATTACAATGGATACACACCATTTTTCCAAAATGAGATTGACATGGTTGGCCACAATTTTTGCATAACTCATGGAACATATTGTCTAGATTGATACTTTGAATGTAAGCAAGTATCCGAAAATATTTAACCTAAAACCATCCAAACAATGTATAGATTACAATTATTAATTCGAAACTACTTGTAGATACTTGTTCATTACTTAATTAATTGAGAGGAATTGTACCGTAGCTATAACTGCATATTCGGATATCCATATTCTCTTAGCATTTGATATCAACAATGCTTGGGACATTGTAAAATTGCATGATCGCAACCACGTCACTAATTTCTGAGCACATTTATCATTCTCAAACCCGCAAATTTTTCAAATACATATTCGTAAGGGTATGAAATATTATTAATAATTTAATATTTTGGCATTTGTAAAACTTACCAACTGTGTAGGTATTGAACAAAATCCAAGTAGTGGTTGATATACAATTTGCTTGGTCGAATAGTATAGAGTGACGGTCCTGCACAATGTGCTTTATTTATTAATAAACTATAAATTTTAAATAAAATAAAATGAGAATAAATTGAATTACCTTTATAATTTCTCACACAAATACCACAGGCTAGCAAAACATTATTTTTTGTAACAGTTTGACGCAAGTGTTCACCATCATCGGTTGCAAATTTATCACATAAAGTCAACCGAACTACTGTCAAACTTCATTTAGACAATTTTGGTAAGTATAAATCAAAATTTGTAGAATATAAAATACTTTACAGGATATTGAATCTAGTGACTAACCTTTTGTCAAGTAAAAGTATGTCACACTTAGTTTTGTCATTGATAGATGTTTGATAGTGTGAACCAACGGATACAACTAAACCAATTACATCTGCAAAAGATTAAAAAATATAAGTAATACCACTTCAAATATACAACTCAAATAGAAGTATGATTAATTATGAATGAAATACCTATCAATTGCACATCATTGCCCATGTGTTGTTCTGTATCTCTTAGTTTGACCAGATTAAACTTGAAACGGGGTATGGTTCCACAATCATCCAAAATATTCACTATCTTTGTATCGTTTCCAAACGATAATTGGTACTGATGTGGTGCAAGCCGATATTTAAGATCTGCCGGAATTACATATATATTTTGAAACCAATATACCTTGCCTTCATGGAGATGATCTGCGAAAATGTTTATCATATTACTGCCTCTTATAACTCCCTGCATAACAAATTTCTGATAGTTTTCAACAGATTAGTAAATATTCACTATTCAATATAATAATTAACATACACTCTTAATTATTACCTGATCATCTATAAAAAGCATCTTGATACATCCCGAACGTTGAAGCACTCCATATATGGTCATATCTATTAATCGAAACAATCTAACATTTACATTCCATCCGTATCCGCAAGGATCCAGATAGAGTAAAGGTGTATATCGAATATCTGTAAATTATTATAATATAGCATGAAGGTTAATTATTTAAGCGCTATATTTGATACAGCAAGTAACACAAATTCAAAGAAATACCAAAAAAATGCCAAAGTATGAAGCATATATAGTACATATGGTCTGATGTAAATATACTATTTTTGTAAACAAAGCGATGTCCAGAATTTATCAAAGGGAGTCAAAAATCTCACGATACACAATATTTTTTGTGTAATCCCATGGATCATCATCTCTATTAACAATGAGTATTTTCAATCCATCTGGCGAAGTAGCACGGGACAGAGCAACATAAAGTTGACCATGTGAAAACACAGGTTCAGGAAGGTAAACGCCAACATTTTTCAAGGTTTGGCCTTGACTTTTGTTGATAGTCATTGCAAATGCCAATTTCACAGGAAATTGTCTCCTTTTAATTGGAAAAGGAGTCCGTGTACTCTGTGGTGTTAAAGAGATCCGAGGTATGAGTACTAAATCTCCAATATTAGATCCTGTTATGACTTCTGCCTCGAGAACTTTATCCCCCATTCTGGTAACGACAAGCCGTGTTCCATTGCAAAGACCTTCTGACTGATTGAGATTTCTCAAAAAAATTATGGGAGTTCCTTCTTTAAGTTCCAAAAAATGATTTGGAAGTCCAGAAAAATTCAAAGGGTGCAACATTTCAGGAGAATTCATATTTTCAACAATGTCACCTTCAGTATTGCAAAAAGTATCAGCACTCATATAGGTACGTGATTGACCAGGAAGCATTGATAACATCTTATCATTCAACTTGTCAACATCACCATTTTTTGGAGCCAAAATAGCACGTTCCTTGAGATATGTGCTATTTCTGTATGAATCTCTCAAATTTGGATAGACAGAATCTATTAACTGCATCAAAGATTGACTATCATTTTTTATGAGAAATTGCGACGGCATCCGAATCCAATTTGATTCTCCGAATTCAGTAAGTGAAATTGCTGAAACCTTTCCTTCACCAACAGACAGCAGCCAATTTGCAAAATCCATCAATTGCTGACGCGTATTTTCAGGAAGACGTAAATTCACTACACGCATATTTATTTTAAGATGCAGTACTCTACAGTGATCCCAAATCGTTGACTCTTTTATTGTAGCTGATACTGTTGCTTCTCTCCTACCTTTAGAAACAATCGGTAATATTTATCGAAAATCACCGCCCAAAACAACCAATTTTCCTCCGAAAATACGATCCTCAGTAGCATTTTCACTCAACTTTAAGATATCCTTTAAAGTTTTATCCACCGCTTCAAAACCATGCCGATGTGCTATTGGAGCTTTGTCCCAAATTATCAAAGATGTCTCCCTAATTAATTTAGCTAAGTCAGAATTTTTATTGATTGAACAACTTGATGACTCATCCAAATTAATAGGAATTTTGAAACGTGAATGCGCCGTTCTTCCACCCGGTAAGAGTAATGCCTGATGATGCAACTGAAAGAACAATTTTTCTCTGCGATCTGACTCAAGCAATCAATGTTCTCCATAAATAAGTTTTACCCGTCCCACCACTTCCATACACAAAAAATAGTCCTCCGTGATTATGTGTGTATGATTCCATAATAAGATCATATGCTTTCAATTGATTCTCATTCAAACCAGCATATAAATTATCAAATAATTGCTGCTCTGATGTAAAATCGTAATCGAGCTCTTCTCTTATAAGTCTGTTCATGGAAAACTGAGCATTTTCAAATGACGGCAATGGCATTGGTGGAAAATCTCATAAAGATCGACCATTTTTGTTCAAAATGAGTTCGAGTTCAATTAATCCCAAATTTTGTAACTCACCATCATCAATGCGTATCTGAGAGTTTCCCATATCCCTTCTGATCTGATATTGCAAATCATCTGTCATACTTTTCCAGTGACGCTGCCATATAGCATAAGGGTTAGTTACCTCAGAATGCATAAGTATTGTACAATACATGCTTCGTAATTTTCTGGCAGATGCCCATGTAGATGCTTCAGCCAAAGCTTCGTTCCACTCATTATCATCATCCAGAAGACCAAGTGCTGCACATGCAGCTTTGAATGTTGGATGCACAACTCCATCAATAGTTCTCAAATGTTCAAAACTTTGTGCACCACGAATTTTATTCAGTAACATTCTCAAATAGTATTGCTCACCGGAATGAGGATGTGCATATGGTAGCCTTCCGATACACCTACCTTGCAATCTGGACTCCCATTGACGTTTATTTTGCTTCCAAGTCCACTTACTCGGAAACTCCACAAACGTCAAGTTTCTAGCTGGAACATGGCTCTGATTTATTTCAAACCATTTCGTCAGCATCGTGTCATGTATGTGATCACGATGAGAACATCATAAAGATGATTATCATCATTAAATATCACAAATTGATGATCAGGAAGATGATACTGCAATCTAATCACGGATGGATACTGTCTCTGCATTTCGAAATCAAATATCTTCCAACATGACTCAATTGGCGATAAATATCGACAATCTAAGTACTGTTTAATCTCATCAACGTTTCTGTAACGATGATGACCACTTTCATTTGCAAGTACAACGTTATTCTCAATATGAATATTTGCTCTATCAACCCCCTTACTCATGTGCTTGTACAGATATTTAGTGATTTCTGGACGTGCAACTTTGGTCACATTGATATGATCATCAAACATTACAATCAAATATCGATTGTAAGAAACAACCCACCTGTTGTCAAATATAAAACCATTAA